CGAAAAGTCCCTGAAATTTTATTGAATTTTTTTTATTAAATTTATAGAAATCAAATAACAGAATTAATTAATAGAAATTTATTATACCTTCAGTATCTATGAAAGCAGCCTTAATAAGAGAATAATAAAGTTCAATAAATTTAATAAATTCACTTAAGCAACATTTTTAAGTTAAAGAAATGTAAAAATTTAAATACCTTTCCATTTGTTCCACCCATGGCAGGTGGAAGCTGCGCCACAACGCACAAAGTGTGAGCGATTTGAGTCTTTCCGGTTCTGAACTCACCAAATGCTTCAGTAATTGACATAGTGGGAACACCACCTATTTGAAAGTGAACAAAGAATATTATTGCATAGAATAGAAAACGCAATAACAGTTTAACAAATAAATGTTGTAAAGTGACTAGTTAATGATTTATTATGATCGAATCATACATACCGCCTATAAGCGCATCCAGCGATTTACTACCTGTTGATATATACATTACTTTCGACCTTACTAGCGAAAATTCAGTAGCAGTCATGAAAGAAGCAGACTAATTGCAATTAACAAAAAAAAATAAAAGTATGAATAGTTAAGAAAAAGTATATCCAAACACGTGATAAATTCAATAACCTGGAGTTTTGAGGCGGTTTCTTTAAGTTTATCAACTTTTGCTTCAGAAAGTCCTTTAATTTTGCAAAGATTTCTTCGAGTTGTCATGTGAATTGCCTGTTTTATGAATTAAAAAAAACATATTTATATAATTTATATCTAGGTGGATACGAGGTAAACGAGAATTAATAATTACCCGCACAGTGCAAATACCAGCACTTTTAAGTTTAGTAATATCAGCAGCACCAATTCCATGGTTTTGAAGTTCGTCGATTTCAGTATAGAAAAGTTCCTAAGCAAAAGAAAAATATATCCTTTGTGATGACGTTGAAGCTTTACCAAATAATGTAAAAAGATCTAAATATGGTATTCAGCATTCGACGCAGGAATCATTTATTACCTCCTCCTCTTCTGATTCTTGAATATCGGCTTCTTGATCGGGTACTTGTTCGAATTCACTCATTTTTGCTTAAGCGAAGACTAATTTTAATTTAACGGGTTGTTGGAGAAAGTAAAACTCTACTGCGATCTGGTGTTTATATCATAAAAAAGTCCGTTGTCACATGATTTTATCCGTCTAAAGACACGTCCATACATACGTACGTACGTACGCACTTCAAATGTTGCCATGCATACGACGAGCGTGTTACAGAAGTTTATATCCAGGATTCAGCTGTCGGCATGAATAAAAGCTGAAAAAAAGACTAAAAAAAGATGCGGCCAATAAAAATTAATCATGTAAAGATATAAAAATTCTTCAACTAAACATGAACAGAAACCAATTTTGCTATAATTTAAAGTTGTCGGATGTGTAATGCAATATATATCAACAGTTTCAAAGTATATAATAATATATATATATATATATATAAATGTTTCTAGATTGATATATAAGTATACAGAAAAGTTATCCAGAGTGTCTAAGGTTTTTTTTTTTTTTTACAAAAGATATACTGTATCTTTTATATGGTTTTAATAACATATGTTTAGCCATGTGGATTAACAGCATACATGGGATATAGTATCTCAGCTATATCTATACATATACTGTGTTATACATCTTAAGTAGACTTTACATTGTACATATCAACCATATAACACATTAATTCCATGTATTCATTACTGCATTACGGCGAATTTATGAAATTAGAGTTTTTGACTAACCATGAAGTGCGTCATTTCCTATTTGTTTTTTGACATTTCTCATCTGTTCACGGGAAGATAGGTTAGACGTTATCTATATGACTTTACAATAAGAAATGTCAAAAAACAAATAGTAAATGACGCACTTCATAGTTAGTCAAAATACTCTAATTTCATAAATTCGCCGTAATGTTAAATATTTGAACAATAAAAAAGATCACGAATGGATTCGAGCTTCTCAAAAAAAAACACGCGATTGTCAACTTTTATACGTATAATTTGTCCGACATTATTAAGTTCTTATTTTTCGATGCAATACACCACACCGAATACAAAGTAAAAATATCACATACATATGATTTTATAGACTAATAACTAATGCTTCTACTGTACTATAGTGTGATCTAAAAACTGCTAAAGATCTTGAATCTAAAATCAAACCGTAAAAAACATTCTTTTAAAGCGGTTCCGTTAAAATCATTCCACCAACGACTTGCAGACTTGGTTCACCGACAATTAATTCACAAACAAGTTCATTTCAAAGACAGTTCACTTCACCGACAAAGTAATTTGGTCATTGCCGTTAGGGTCAGGTTTAAAATTAGAGTTAAGGTTAGTGCAATTTATAAAAAAAAAATTTTGTCGGTGAAATAAACTGCTTGAAATGAACTTATCAGTGAATTAATTGTCTATAAAATAAGTTTGTCTGTCGGTGAAGTGATTTTCGGCAAAATAATACGGATCCCTTTTAAAGTGGGAACTACCAAACCACAGATTTATACTGAAGACACAATAGTTCACTTTCAAATTATTTGATACAACTTATCTACAACGTATTTATCTACATTCTTTAATTTTTTTTACATTTAAATAATTAATGCATACACAACTTATTCAATCCTCATGTTGGTCTCTTAGAATTTATAATATTTCAATATGGATGTTATGGTCCCAAAGATCTGGTCCAAGTAATAGACCATTGACCGGATCATTGAACTGGCCCGGTTCTATCCAATAAAAATTCAGGATTTGACAGCTTATTTATTTAATTTATTTAATTAAGCTTAATTAGAAGTAATAAAGGCTAATACAAGAATTTGTCTGCAGGCATTAATAAATTGATCATCTATATTATATATTAACCATAATAAAAAATTCGTAATAAAAAATTACAGTCAGATTTTGATACGTATAATCACCAAAAAAATTTGATTATTATATAAAAAATTATGACTATATAAAGGTTAAAGGTTATATATTTATAATAGCTAGCTAGAACCAAAAAATAATGTGAATATAACAAAGTTGTGACTAAGTCAAAAGTGAATTTTAATGCAAAATAAATTTATAAATTATAATTCAACTATGTTGAATTCTTTGCAAGAAATTGAAACAGAATTAATTAGCTCGTTTACTAAATCAGAGTAAATTGGATCAGAATACATTTTATCAGAATCAATTTCACCAGAATAGATAATTTCTTCGCTTTTTATTTTGTCTATTACTTGCATACACCTTTCACGAGACTTGAATAATTCTAATAATATTTGTTCGTCATTTAGCCATTTTGTAAAAACTTCTAAGACTTTGTCTACGGATGGACGTCTTTCCGGTTCTTCGTCCCAACATTGTTTCATCAAATTAACATAACAAGTTTCTGTATATTCTGGAATTTCTTCAAAAATTTCTTCAACAATTGGAGGCCTTAGTTTATCGAGTACTATTCTCTCTTGCAAATGCGAGCTAAATACACTATTATAAAGTGTAGTCACTGGTATTCCATATAAAATTTCCCACATAATCATGCCAAATGAATATATATCAAATGCTTTGGTATATGATTTTCTATTTTTAATTTCTGGATCAATAACTTCTGGTGCTATATATGGTAAAATTCCACAAATCTCATCAGATTCAACTCTCGAATCTATATTTATTGATCTCGAAAGTCCCAAATCTGCAATATATGCACTACTTAAACTATCTAGCAAAACATTGCCACTATGAAAATCTCGGTGAATAAGTCCTTGAGAATGTATCATTTGAAGATCAGAAGCAATACAATGCAATAATTTTAATTTATCTTTCCATTCCATTTGTGCTACAGAAGCAAGATTGCTATTTAAAGAACCAATTGCTGCTACTTGCATAACAAGAATATAATTATTAGAAAGGTCATCTTTTGATATTCCATAGCATCTTAAAAATGATGGATTTTTATTGCCAATATCACAATATGCTTTTAACTTTAGTATTAAAACAGATCGTTAGTATATAAATTTTCGAATTTTCTAACACGCTTACACATAAATTAATTTACCTCTTTTAAAAATTCTTCATGATTTTCCTTCGATTTATGAAGCAATTTAAGTGCAACGGGTGTACTAAGTCCTCGGTTTTTATCTATCCAGTTAGCATAATATACTGTTGCAAACCCACCTTGCCCTAAATTTTCTATAATTTCTAATTCATTATAAGGAATCCAAGATAATGGATATTCACTTTCAGCTAGTATTTTTTTTAAATTATTATCAATATCTAAATTTTCATCTATTTTCCTGTTTGTTGCTAAAAAAAATTAATTGCTATGTGTTAGATCATTTGATAAATAAGCAAACATAGTAAAAAAAAATATAAATTAAATAATAACTAACTTACATAGTATTTGATTCCGTTCTCTGAATTTTTTTTTTAAAAAAAAATTTATACAGTAGTTATTAATAAAATAAATATTTATATAAGGTTTTTATAATAATATAAAGTAACTTACACCTGATACCATTCGTTGGCCTTTTCTAAGTCTCTTGCTACTACAATTCCATTTCTATAATAATATTCAACATTATACATTCTATCAGTGTCCCCCATCTCTGCTGATTTCTGATAATAAATAAATGCCTTATTTATATCCTTTTCAACTCCAATTCCATGTTGATAACAATATCATATCCACACATTTTTGGAATTATTGTTTATTTTGACGCACCCCAAAAATTAGGTAACACAAAATGCAAGATAAGTCAGCTAGTTGACAACCAATAAAATTTAAGAATAAATTTAAATATATCAATATGCAATTAATATGTATATATA